CGGGGATGCCCCCGCGCCCTGGGGCGCCTGCTCGAGGGGCCGGAGGGCGGCTTGCCTCGGCCGCAGCCTGCGCCGCAGCAGGGCCGACGGGGAAACACGGGGGCAGCCGGTTTTGCTCAGGGCCGGGCCGGTGATGTGAAGGAGGCACCGGCGCCGGGCGCGGCGAGGGGCCGGGCGGGCGGCGAGCGCGGCTGGACCAAGGCACAGGCTTCCCGTCGGGAAAAGCAGGGATTCGCTGTTGTTTTTCCCGTTGGAAAAAAAAAAAAAAATCGTCTCTCAGTTTGGTGTCAGCCTAATTTCAGCCTACTGCTTACATAAGGTATTAAAAATAGCGGAACCGTTCCAGTAATCCTTTATCTGAACAGTGCTTCCTCCCCATCCTAAAATCTCTGTCCAGTTCGGCTCTGGTCTTCCGGGATTTGGGAGGGCTTTTGTTTTTGGGACATTGATCTACGCAGTTGTTTGTGTATCTGAAGTGCTTACGTAGTTCCAAAACGCATGGCGCTGTGCTAGTAAATGTTTTCTTAAAAAAGGGCAGAAAATAAATTGATCTAAAGGAATAGTTATGCCCGTTTAAAAATAAATAGAAGGAGAAATTATAGACTAAAAACATGAAAGATTGTTTGGTGCTACGTAAGTTGCCTGAGCAACTTGTGCAAACATCTTAGAGACTATTTAAGCGCTGCACTAATATTGTGGAAATCGTTGTCCACGTAACCACGTTAAGCGTAATTGATGGTCGATTGTATTAAAGTGTCAGTAGTAAAATGGATATTAATCATATTTAAATAACCATTTTAAGTATCTGTTCATGCCTCAGCATAGTTTCTTAACCTGTTTTAGTTTTAAAATCAAGCTGAAGAATACATCAGCTGAGAATAAAATACAGTATAATGCAGCTGAGATGCAGTTAAACATCCTTATTTTGGTAGTAAAGAAGGGATTTAAAAATGCAAATATCATCAGTATTTCTTGAACACTGGTTATATGTACTTCATAGCACAAAAGTAATACTGTGACTTAGTTTTTGGAAATTGCTTTTGAGAATTATCATGAAATTTTACATACATTTTTATCAGTATTGTTTCATTCTGTGTATCCTTCGTCTGCATGAGTTGTTGTGAGAATGCTGATTCTGAGTTCAGTCAGTTTTTCCTTCAGACCTAACCCATTGCTTGTGGCAAATGAGTAGAAGTGATTAAACTTTCCTTTGCATTAGCATTTTTCCTCAAATTTGTTTGACCTAACAGAGCAGTACAAAGTCAGCGTTATTTTACGTATCTTAGTGCGGTGAAGATTTTGATCAGTTTCCTATTTGATTTGCACTCTGGAAGCCACCCAAGTGCAGTTTTGGGGCCAAAACTTATCTTCATGTCATGACCTGTAGTTCCAACTCATGTCACACATATATGTGTCTACAGGCAGAATCTGGTAATAGGAGTTTGTTAACTTTTTTATTCAATTTGGAGTGAATTGTGTTAGCTGTTGTACGTTTTCCTTTCAAGGATGCATCTCCTTTGTTGTCCATTAATGGTCAGCTGTTTGATGTCAGCTGCTTTGAGGCTTTTATAATTTAAGTCATTAAAGCAAACTGATATCTGATAATCCAAAGGCCAGTATGTTCCTCGCTGTTGAGTTAGTATTTTGGAGTCTTGAGTACATCTTTATTATTTTTAACTGTAGTTACAAAAACAAGAATTGGCTTTATTGCACACAAGCCAAAATTTATTTCTGCTTGTCAGCTTTTTATACAAATGTCTGATCATTGAGAATTCATCAGTCAGATGTTTAGCTTTCAAAACGCTTCTGCAAGCTAACAGGAGACCTCAAAACTTTTCCTTTTTCTTTTTCTTTTTTTTTTTTCATTTTTCTCAGTATCATGTTTTTAAACGTGTAGCCAAGCACAGCGTGGAGTAAGGGGAAATGAGTACTCTCCTCAGAGAAATTTAGTAGTTGAACTCTGGGATTGCCAGTAGAGAAATCAATTACAATGAAGGTATTTATTCATTTTGAGCTGGATAGAGACAAAAAAGATATTGAGTAGACATTAGAAGTGGCCACCTGAAGAATTTCTTCTTCTTTTTTTTTTTTTTTTTGTGTCTTGCCTTTTGTGCCCCTATTTGCATGCCAAATTCCTTTGCGTTATCTGGGTATTTTGCTGGAGCCTGACAATCTGTGTAAGAGTTTGTCAGTAGTCACATCGATCAGAAGCGATAAGGCATGCTGTTCAGCCAAGGAGCTGAGGGCTGTCCTCAGTAGCTGTTAATAGTTCACTTCCTGGAAGATTTGTGCTCTCCCAGGTGAACTGATGTCTGCATGTGTACACTAATCTATAAGGAGAGCAGGAGCAATGCAGATACCAGCTTCAAGAATTTACCCGTGAAAGCTACTTTGGTACCTGGCTTCCTAAACGTGTTTGATCATCTGATTAGTTGCCCAGTGTACTCTGAGAATTATGGATATATATACTAGTTTTTCAAGAATAATTTTTTTCCTTCTGGAATCAAATATCAAAACTGGATTTTCATTTCTCAGCAAATGTTTTCTAATCTTTGAAGTCTGACTGTTATACAACATTTAGTTCATTTAGGAGAAGAGCCTGGGTATGAAAATTACAATCCGCATTCTGACACGTTGAGTAAATTATTAAAGGTAAACACATGAAATAGATCACAGTGAAATTCTCATTTAAATGTGAAATAAAACACTGAAATTATTTAAACTTTGATAAATATGAAGGGGAAAACTGATAGCATCTTTGTGTGTACAGCACCTAACGGGTTTGAACTCTGAGCGGTGCTGAAGTTCAGGCAGTGGTAATAATGAGATGTAATATTTTCATGAGTAATCTAATCTAACTTTGATTTGAAGTTCCAAAGCTGTAGAGATTATAATTCGCCATCACGTTTCATGAGGAGAAGGAGAAAAATCAGCGTAAACTCTTTTCCTGCTG